AATAATGGATCTTTCTATAAAATATTATTGCTTACCCATATATATGCAAATAAAATTCAATTATGCTCTGAAGTGATGGGCAAATTAAATTCAATTAAAGCAAGTAAATATATATTTCAAATATGTATAATATTTTTTAAATAAAAAATATATCTTTACTCGGATTAAAGTTACCCGATAAGCTATAAAATTCAATAACGCTATCTAAATTAATTGTATTAGTAATAGTGGGTCTTCTTAACCCAAGTCCAAATAAAATATTTGTTGCGCGCATAATTTTGCAATGACCAAATTCTAAAAAGTCCGAATTGTCATGTGATTTTTGTTGATTAAGAAATGAGTACTAATGGGATAATTGGTTAGCATTGGTTAGCATTGGTTATCATTGATAATGTTTTTGTTTAAAAAAAAGTATATACCATATAATGTACAGTCGGCTCCAAAAGTTTAACACGGTTACACAATAAAACATGACACAAATCGACCAAATCAAACGATAATAAATTATAATAATATATAGTACATAAAGATTGATGCAACTATATATGCAGTCTTAACAAAAGATAGACTTTAATACTTGCTACCTATTCTCAATGAGATATGTTTTTATAGTTTTTGTGTAACTGTTAAACGCTTGGAGCCGACTGTATAATGCATTGTTGTTTTTTAAAAAAAGCATCCTATGTTAAAGTAACGCTAATGGGATATTTTGAAAATTATTTCTCTAAAAAGTAGAATGCATTATTGCTCATGGGCGTTATTTTTTAAAAGGTAGCATACTTTGTATGCATCCTAAAAATGATGCACACATGATATATATATACTGTATATATAATTGTTATTGTATTACATCATTTTAAAAATTTTGCCACATTTCAAAATGACGGCATTGGCGTATTCAAATAACTCGTAAGCGGGCGCTATTTCGTGAAAATATGGTATATGGGCATGATAAATTTCGCTGTGCGTCATAAAAACATCATGTTCAGTTTTTGTGCGAATCGATTAAATGACTTGTCAGTAAGATGGCTAGCTATTCTGAATAATAAGGTAATGATTATGTAATGGTGCTTATTATTGGAACCGAATTTTCATATTCTAAATAAGTATTATATATCTTACCTTTTTTAATTTATACAATAGGATTATGTTTAGTAAAGGATAATTATCCTTGAGGACCCTTGAGGAAAGATTGGTTTCATGTTACAGTATGTCAAAGAATGCCACTGGGACACCGCATGCTAATTATTTTTTATACTAGATCATTCACCAAATCATATTTTATAGGTCATTTATCATTTCCACTACATACAAACAAAATTCAGTATCTCTCGTGAATATTGTTGATTATAGTAATAGATTACCATATTCGTATTATTCGAGCATAGAACCAGATGGGGCACCATAATAATAGGAGGCGATTGTTTTGGGGGAATATTTCATGCAGCGGCAAACGGTAGTGATGTAGGAGAATTTTCATAAGATGAAAAATAAAAAATTACAAAAAAGTTTCTGTATAAGTACATAAATTAGATGCTGATTCAATAGACAATGAAATTAATTGGAGAAATTGAATTAATTAGTAAAATGTAGAAATAAAGAATCATTGAATTATATAGCATACATTTTTACTTTAGCGACATGCGTACAAAAAAACGTCTGCATTCATATTATAATCATATGATGTATATGCTTATGTGATAAGTGAAATTAGCTGAAAAGTAGGTATCATTGTAATATAAAAGATAATCTCATACATCCAATTCAGAATTGCTATTGATAACGAGTTCACAAATGCATACAGAAATCTGAATATCTTAATGCGCAATAACTACATAGTAACTATGTAGTAACTATAGTTACTATAAATTTAATAGTAACTATATGGTCACTATGCAGTTATGGGAGAGCCGTTTATTACGTAATTTTTTAGAGGAGGGGGGAGGGACAGTAATTTATCACGTCTATCTATTGAATATAAATCTTATGATTGGTTATTGAGTTTATCACCTAGGGGGGAGAGGGTGTGGCCTTCTAATAAAAAGAAATTACGTAATAAACGGCACACCCTTTATTGTACATAAAGATATTCAAGTTTCTGTAAGGGATGTACGTATGGACCGTATTATTTCACCGATTATTTTACGATAATATAAATGAGTGCGTGAGAATGAAAACCTGTAACTGATCATAGTAAATCATTATAATCAGTTCCAGGTTTTTATTCTCATGCACTCAAATAATCACGCTAAGTGATGTCAGTTAAATGCCTAATCGGTGAAGTGATTGTACTAATATATAGAATCCATCGAAATTAACTCGTACAAGTATACACATTGCGTACCCATCCCAAAAAATGTCATTTAGGAATATAACGTTATATGCAGTTTCAAGTCTCTGAGTGGACATGCATTATTCTGATGCAAAGCACAATAATTTTAAGGGAGTTTATTTCAATATATAGATATTTATTTATTAATTTATTTATTTATATTTAGAAAATTATCACTCATCGTCATCATTAATCCAAAATTTTACAAGGAATTTTTTTGTTACACCTAATTCTACGCTCTGATTGGTCGATCTGGAGTAACGAGGCAATGAATGATAACATCCATATTTATATTTATGTTTAATTTCCGTTTGAAAGATTACTAATCCATATAAAAATCTTAACATTAAATACGATACAACTCTTAAATTGTAACAATTAATCCTTCCTGGATCTCGGAATATTTAAAAATCTGATAAGGTAATTAGTATAACGATCCTCAAATTTATTTATTCATTCTTACGACTATTGTCTATTTAAGTCGATGCATCTACAACAAACCAGTTTAAAATTTGCGCCTTATCCTAAAACATTTTTACTGAAAAAAAGAGTATGTTGTTTTTTACATTGTCATTTATCACATGAAGATTTATTAATACAGTATAGTACAAATTAATTTAACCGCCACTCATTACAATGACTGACTTTAAAACGATATTTTTTTTAATAGTTTGTACTAATCAAAGAAAGGCTAGTGCAAGAACCATTATAATAATACATTAAAAACTCATTAGGAAAAACTTCAAAAAGCACATGAAACCAACATCGCATACGTAGAAAAGTACAAAATGAATTCTATCGAATGTCAGAATGCGATCTGCTATATCCAAAGTTGCTGTTATTGTAAACAATGCAACTATGACAAATTTATACTAGTTTTTCATATATATTGAACTTAAAACTAAATTGGAATTTGTGAAACCAAAAAAATAATGTAAATAACTAATATTGCAGCGTGTGCAACCAGTGGCTTTTTACAGCAGTGCTGTATTGTATAAATAAATTTGGAGGGTGTACTATAATAAATACTTAATATAGTTATGTAGAAAGCATTTTTAGTTTAGTGGTTTATATTTCTAGTTAGCATTACTTGGCGACTAAATCAATGATTTTACGATTTAGCTTACGAAATAAAATCAATAACCTTGTCATATAAAAATGCTAATTTATTTTATAAGCTGTTAGAGCATTGAATAAAAGGGTTTATGTCTTGTTGTATTAAGCGATTATTATCCCTTACACCGTCTTGCAGGCGAATTTGCCTGGAAATTTAATGATTAATCTGTGATCAAGCTATCAAATTATATTGAAATGTAGTCTAAATTGTAGTAGATTCGTAGTTAATTTGACGGTTTAAGGGATAATATATCCAAATTTATTTATACAATATAGTACTGCTGAAGAGAGTCAGTTTATGAATCTTCTAAAAATGAATTTGTTTATTTTTGAGGCACATCATTCTTAAAATATTTTTCTCTATTGTTTGATACATTGTTTGTGTAATTACGTAAATTGCCAAGAGCGAATGTGAGTGTGAATAAAACTTTAAATCACACTGGTAATGTTTGACACCATAGCTGTTATACCTAAAAACTAGTTAATGACCTTTTTCTAATATTATTTTTAGCCCGAACTTTAACCCTTAACTTCTAATCTTATACTTCTAATCTTATCCTAACTTTTACTCTATTCTAATGATAAAATTGCTATAAAAAGTATGTATTGTTGAGCATCATTGGTGCGATTTAAAAATTTAAAACTTTATTTAGTGATACGTATTAATGATATATTATTGCACAATTTACATTTTTAATCCAGTGTAGTATTAATAATAGCTCTGGTATATCGCCATTCTATTTACATTTTATAATAATCTGAATAGGGTAATATATAAATCACAGTATAAAACGATTTATATTTTTAGATTATACCAAAGTATAATCCTCTAACAGCTTTACTATGATGCGTAATAAAAAATTAAAATCTTATGATTACTATGATTTATGCATTTGTTCACCGAGTCCTTTAGTTTTTTATTGACTCCTATTTGGAACTACTAGAATCAGCCACCATAGATGCACATGTTTCATTAATCTTATCTTCAACCTTATCTTTACCTCAATGAAACCATATCGGCAGAAAAAAACAAATCTGTCTCTTGACTAAGCCATCACCTTATTATCCTATTATTTTGATGCTATACTACAGTTTGGTGAGTTGGTTTATGAACCATCGAAAAATTAACTTGGACAAAGTTTAAAAAAAAAATTTGTTTTTGTATATTGATAATTTTTTATTTTGTTCTTATTTAATTTTTGTTTAACGTTTTTTTTTTTTCAGATAAAAAGTTGATTTTTTTTTTTTTTATAGTTTAAATCTGACTGTTACACTGCTTTTGCTATATTTACCCATATTTACCCGATACCCGTTACGGTGGATTGTGTAAACAAAGAACCAAGGATATTCGTATAAGGTTATAGCTCCCATTTAGCAAATTAATTATCGCACTATAATTATTCGGAAAGATTTCTGACGCCTTCAAATGTTCATTTGAATGTGTACTTTTTTTTTTATTGTCAGTGTTCCCTTGAAATTCATGGCTTCTCTACCTTTATAAAAGGAATTAATCATGGAATACTTTCGCTATAATCTCGTATTATAGACAGTAATGGATGAAACGATTCGACGAAAATATTGTGGCCTTCTAATGTTTGATACACCACCTTCCTTTCCCTACAAATCTAATGGCAAATTGAATTCTTCAACACTAACCATCGATCATACTACTTCGCTGGAAAATAGTAGTATAAGAACCCAAGACAATCTTGTAATTACCTCCTTCATGGAACCAATTCGAGTTAAACCTCAAAATCCTATAAAAAATAAACAACCTATTACTTATAATGTCTTGGATTCAGATTCGTTATTATTAAATAACGAGGTCGAAAAAACGCAAAATTCGGTGCAGCAATCTTCTAAAGATAGAACTCCTCGTCCTCCAAATGCCTTCATCTTATATAGGCGTGCAAAACAAGCGGAAGTTACTCGGGAACATGGGAATATTTCTAATGCAAAAATTTCAAAAATACTTGCCAACCTTTGGAGAAACGAAGACGAATATGTAAAACATTATTGGCAAAAATTGGCCGATAAAAAAAAAATGGAACATATGATTGCTCATCCTGGATACGTCTATCGACCAAAAAAACTTGGCGAAAATAACAAAAAAAAGTATCATCGTAAATCGAAGGCCACTCCGAAGGAATCTACTGGCCCATTGATTCCATTATGTGATCCTCCTGCTCAAAATCCAAATCCGCTCGTTTCTGATTCATCCCAAGATCCTACCATCTTTACTACGGACACTTCCTCTCCTTACATTTTTTGCGATAATAATTTTGAAAGTTATTCCCAAATTGCACTTTCAATCTTTTCAGATAACGACTTCGGCTATGACAATTATGTCTATGGCAATTATATCGATTGTAACGATTTTAATGCTTTTAATTATTATAATGATATTGAACCAAATAATTTATTTGACGTATAACAATATCAAATCGATTAAAGTATCTCTTATTCATATGAAATTAATTTTTTGTTAATGTTAAGTTCTGTTAATGTTAAGTTCAAATTTTTCTCCCATCTTACTCTTTTTTTTTTAGGTTAACTTTTTTTTCTATAAAGGAATTGTGTATCGGTTCGCTTCGTAGTTGCAAACCAATTTTTCCCTCTATGTTCATCCATTTTTTGTATAATGGACAATAAGACTCATTACATAATATGCTATGGTGGATGTATAATACAATATTAATTTTGTAATTTAATCACGTGGTTAATTCTATATGTATATATATATATAAATAAATAAATTCTGTGTCGACATAAATAAGACATGATTGACTTTTATATAATTATATATAAATTTTTTATGAAATTCTAGTTTGACCCGGGTCAAAGTCACCAAAATTATTACTAATTCATACCGATATGATAAAATTTTAGTCGTGTGTGAATCTATAACTTATCGGGAGACTTTGACGCGGTGATTTTTATTTGAATGACGGAAAGGGAAAACTTGGAAATTGGTTAATAAAATGTTTTATTAGCATTAATGAATCGATTATAAAGTGGGATTCCGTTTTGATGTGTTATCGAAGCAACTTGAATATCAGCTTTATACGTATTTGACCTCATATAATAATAATAATCATTTCGATAAAGTTAACCGTTATTCACGATTTTGTGTCACCTGCCTTTTATTGCAATCATTGTATTAATAATTGCCGAACCACTGTATTAATATTTGTCGCGTTATTTGTTTGTGCATCAATCGAAGCCTTATATTGAATTTATATACATATATATATATCTAATATATATGCCTTGCGTGGAACTCCGAAATACCAATTCAACCTAAACCAAAATAAGAAAATTCTGAATCAATTTGTCGAATTAATTTATTTTAGAATTTAAGTGGTTTTAGAATAAAGTTTATTCAATAGCCGAAGAGACGGTCATCAAAATTAATATGCCGCGAAAATTAAATTTATTACTTTAAAGCCTACATAATGTTTTTATATTTTTGATTCTTAGGATGGCAACTACTATTGCAAGGTACATTCACCTTTTTACATTTACAATGATTTTTATCACAGACATTTTTGCAATTACATTTAATAATACCTATCTGTGATGAAAATTGTATAATGGATGATTCTCAATCGCTTATAAATGTTGAAGAAATTTCATCTAATTCTGAAATAGTGTTTCGACCCGTCAGGTCACCCAGACGGTAAAAGAAATCCCGCAACGGGTCACCCCATCTTGGTCACCCGGGTGGTAAAAGAAATCCTGCAACGGGATTTATATACGTAATAATTAGTTAAGTTAAATTTTTATTTATGCGACACTTAAAACAATTTTTGAATAAATTATAGAGGTTGAGTAGCTTACTTAAATATTTAGATTAACGCTAAATTAGCAAATATTCATGAATATGAATACTTAAATTAATAAAGATTCTTTATATTTATTCACTAAATTAATGCAAATAGAATGAATTAAGTAGTAAATATTCATGAACTTGGATATCTTATTTTAAATGCTTAGATTATTATATTCATATACATTCACAATCTAAAACTTGAGTCTTAAGATTAATAAATTTCCTAATATTTATGCATTAAATTAAAGTAAATATTCATAAGCTTGAATAACTTATTTGAAAGCTTAAATATATAAATATTCTTTATGTTTATATACTAAATTAATACAATAAAATAAATTAAGCAGCATATAAATATACATAGATCTGATATCTTGGATTAACTACTAAGATTAATATACTATATACTGTATTTTTTTAACTTAGGCAAACTTGCTGGTAAACCACTCTATTTACCCATTTTATGAATTATAACTTATAGTAAATTTTCTATATATCAGAAATTGAGTTCTAATATTACTTAGCTGCTTCTAATGATGCTCAGATATATCCACTACACTGGTTAGACCTAATATCCATACTAAAAGCTAGTTATTCTAGCTGGTGCCATGCATCGCATAGTTACAAGTTTATAACTACCAGATTATTATAACTTATTTATGTACTATCTGGATTTTAGTCACATTTATAATCTATTTTTAGCTAATATATGCTTTTAACTTTTCTATCTTTTTGTATATTTATAACTTCCAAATTGTTTCTGTTTAGGCTTTTCTCTTTATTGAGTTCTTGCATTTACTTAGAATCTACAATAGTATATATCTCAAATTAAAACTGCTATCTAGTTAGGTTTTTATATTATGAAGTTGGTATTTCATTATTAAATAATTTTTTTTACTTATTTACCCAGGTACTACTAACCCATATCTTAAGCCAATTTTTGTTACCACTACTATTTTTGTATATTCTAGATCTTAATATTATATTTGTACTTAATACTATTTCTTCTATATTTGTATTTCTAATTGATATAGAACAGAATATGTTTGTATTATATTTTGTATAATTTTAGCTATATCTATTATACTGCCTTAGATATAATACTTTTAGCTACTGGCAAATTATAGAAAAGCAATACTAGTTATGTTTAAGAGGTTATACTAATCTAGTAATATTATAATCTTTTTTTATTATAAACTTCCAATTAGATATAACTAAGTACCTTTATATATATTATAAAGTTTAGCTTGTCTTGATATTTTAGTCTTTTATAGATAATTTATTTTATTTTTACTAAAGGTGTTTTTAATTTTGATAAAGCCAATTTTTTATTATATACTATACATATATTTACTATTTTTTTTATTATTTTAACTTTGGTTAGAGAACAATTTTTCTAAGCAAATATCTATATTTTTTAATCCAAATAAAAACTTATTTGTATAGTCTATTAATTATTCTTTCAAGCAAATACTCTATAAGTTTAATATAAAGATATTAAACTAGAGATATAAAAATATTAATACTATTCTATTTTCTTAAACCAAGAACTTATTTATACAATTATTATAGCTATAGTTTTCTGTAATACTATTATTATATATAGTATTTACCTCTATATTTTGATTTTTTTAAGAATTCTTATTCTAGCTTTATATCTGTACTTGGATTTAGTTACAGAACTTTATATTTAATTATTACTTCTTAATATTACAAAAACAAATTAAACAATTTAACTTTAATATAACTTGAACTATTAAATTTGTTTGTAGAATTTAAAAGCTTAATTAATAAACTACAAAACCTAAATTATATATATCAAACTTTTGCTTAAAACAGTATTCAAGATTTGTGTTTTTAGAGTTTTTATGAGAACATAATTAAAAATCTGCATACAGTTTAAACTATTTTGTTGTTTTTTATTAAAAATATTTTGTGTACAGTAAAGTTAATAATTGTGGTATTGTGATTAAGTTTAGAAAATTTTGGTATAACTCAAGATCTATTTTTCCAAATTAAATAATTTTGATACTATTTGATTTATCTCAATAAGACAAATTGAATATCATATTTGTATATAATAATGCTCTTCTGTGCTTTATTTTAGACCCCTGCATGCTATTTTGAAATATATATGCACTTTATTTTGAATAAAAATATAATTGTTTTGGAGAATAGTCAGAGTTACATACAATATGCTGCAACTCTGCCTAATAACATAGGTCATGATGAAAGAGATATTAGACTTCAAAAATTTTATGTGAATAAAGTAATGTAACCAAAAGCCACTAACTACAATCAGTATTTAAAGAATCGACAAATAACTGATTTGTAATATTCATTTCTCTTTTAACTAACCAAATATTACAACTATCTTTTTTTCTTAACTCAACCCTTTACACTATATATTGTAGTCTTCCAATTTTGCTATTTTCTTATTTAACAGCTGGTCTGCTTTGAGCAGGCAGAAAACCAACAGCTAATATCTGGCACAATCTTACTTGCTAATTTTCTCAGAAGTATATCATTGTTTTAGCTCAAATTACTCAGCTCAAATTATTTAGCTCAAATTACATAGCTCAAATTACTCACAATATATTTTGTGAACTTAAAGTCCTTTAATTGAATTTATTTCTGACCTTTGGCTTGCTAGCATTATTCCAATTATATGATCATTTATACCTATACTTTTCAAATTTAGTATTTGCAGCTCGAAACTTTATTAAAATTTTAAGCATTAAATTATATAAAAAATGATTGGATATTATTTCGAGATATGTATAGATAATATTTTGAGCCAAATAGTTAAATTTTTATAAAGTCAAAATTTGAATTAACGCCCTAGCCTGCTATTATGCACAAATACAGTAGTATCAAAATTATTTAATTTAAATTACAGAATCATAAGTTATTTACAATTGTATATTACATAAAATTAGAAAGATATTAAGTGAATAAGAGTTTTAGCAGATTTGCAATAACTTGTAACTAATCAGTCTAATATAAATAATTTTTATACCATTCAAATTATTTTTTTAAGATGATTCGAATAGACAAAAATTATTTGATTTCTATTACTGAGTCACAAAATATTGGTATTAGAATAGTATTTAAATTGGTTTTTTTTAAAAAATTTGATTTATAATATTTGAATACTAAAACCTTATAACCTAATGATCAAAATCAATTTTATGCAATTTGAATCATCTTGATAAGATGATTTGAATAGTATAAAAATATTTAGTTTAAACTGATAGGTTACAAATTTTAGCTAATCTACCACAATATTCATAGTTACTTTATAAGTATATTTAAACAAAAATACTGTAATAATTCATAAATATAATTATATATTAGTTAATAATACTATAAATTATTTTTTTTAACTTAAATTAATTTTATTTGCAATTTAATAATTAGAGAATTTCTATTTGTACACAGGGTGTATGTACAGTTGCCTCACAAAGTATAATATGGTTATAAAAAAATATAATAAAAAAAATATAACAAAATTTATGCAAATTAATAATGATAATATATTGTGCAAATTAATATATATAAGATTACAATATTATTACATAATAATTATACAGCATAAATTA